GGAAATTTTAAGAGACTAACGCAGTAAGGATGGTCTTTTCCTTCATTTGGTGGATCCGGAGGAATCAACGAGGATCAACACAACTCAGCCAACCCCACACCAGAGTCAGAGTCATTGGCGAGTTGAAGCAGCATAGCGGATCAAAGGTTCGACTACTCAAAAACAGCAGCGGAGAGCAGTTGGGAGCCAGGAGGCGCATTGCAGCTGGAGCAGAAGATTGAAGACTCAGCAAAGGCGAAGAGTTGCAGTGTTCACAAAGGCTTCGACGAGGACGTCGAAGGGATAAGTGGGGGAGAATGTCACGGACAAACTTCTAAATAAGGTGTTTGATGTAATGCTTATATCTGTCCGTGTCTGTTGGCATGTTCATGCCTTGTACAGCATGTAAAGGGGCGGCCAAAGGCTTAATAGTCCCATTTTAGTTGGGTTGGTGGCCTCTTTAGGCTTGTAAATAAAGGTTGTATCATGTGGACACGTGTGAGAGATTTTCGGTCTGTAATGGACCATTTTACCCTTTGTTGTGCCACTGTTCAGAGCTTGTAATAGTCTGTTTGTAATTTGCATTGTCTATGAAGTGTTTTTCGGAGATGTTTGCTTGTGGATCCCGATTGAGGCGTTCTCTCTAACTCGTTCTCTCTTTTGGTGGTCCTAAGGGACAATGGGAGGCTTCGGGGAAGCTGACCTTTGCGGACGGACACGCAAGGGTGCCGCACGACTTAGGCAAAACCAGCTAAGTTCGTGACAGCCCGGTACGGGCGGTACGTACCAGTCCGACAGGTTGTCAGTACGTAGACCGTCTGGTACCGGTCCGCACTGTGCTACAGTATTACGAACCTCCGATGTTCAGTACACTGTACCGTACCGGTACCGAGCCCAGGTCGAAATACCGGTACGGTACAGTATTGCGAACCTTGCATAAAACAAAGCAAAATATCACTTAAAGATCATGCAATTCAACTACACCAACTTTTTTTGTTAAGACAAGAACTCCACCATCATACAACCATTAGAATCTCAGAAGACCTGAACGCACAAGAAACATATAAATCCATGAGTTCAGTTACTGTGACTAAGCAACTGGTGTCAAAAATGGAAATCAAATGCACAACATTGCTGGCTTCCCATTGTTATCAATAGCCAATGATCCATATAAAAAAGTTATTTGTACTGTAAAACTCCAAAGCTACTTATCATGAGCCCCATGTTTAGGTTTACTCAATTCTGTTTTCTTTCAGACAGGATCTTGATTAATACTGTTCAATATCCACAGTGTAGCACATCAATAGTCAAAGAAAGTCAAATGATCAAATCCACCGTCAAGTTTTTAAATTCAGTACCATAAATCACAAGCACTGTGCGATGCTAAGCTGACCACCACGTACCCCCATAAAAATTCCAAGTCGAAGGGTTACCAGCTAAAACAGAATCAGTAGATGCTTGGGGGGAGAAGAGAAGTAATTCCTGGCTCCTGCACCTACACTCATCCTCAATCCATCTCAACCTCACAAACATAAACTCACATGCATGCTCTACCTATTAACAAGGACTGCAACTCGCTAGACAGTAAAATATACCACATATCACCTGATCCAGGAAAAAGAATAAGAGAAGAAACAAAATTATTGCATTTAATTAAAAAGGAAATAATTGTTCTATGTAATCTCTCAGTTGATAGATTAACAGATAAACAAAAATACAAAACTAGTAGACTCATTTTAGAGACTACATGCATGAACTGTAATTACTTAAATAATGTACAAGCTGGCACTATAGTGAAAAGTTCAAAAATCCTAGAGAATCTTGCATGTCTCAAGGATTCTAATTTCACTTGTTTAAGTTAGTAAAAAGGCACAATCCTTAATCAAAAGACAGAAAAGAAAAAGAGAAAGAAGAGGGAGATGGAAAAGGTACCTGCAAAATTATATATGTGTCTCCAGAGTAGAATTTACCATAATCAGACTTTGGTAAAGGCACTGGTTGAAAGTTCTCAATCCGCCAGATCTCTGTTCCTCTAAGAATTGTTAAGTAGACAGCTAGAAACTTTATGCAGTTAGTGCTGAAAATAACTTGCTTTTTACAAATTATAATAAGGATACACTTTTTGTCCAACTCCCTGAAATGCAGGATCGACATATTTTGTAGAACTAGACATTGTGCACTTGAAAGGCCTTCTATAATCACCACAAATGAAAGATATGCCTTACAATTTCACAAAACTTGAAACACTCAATTATGCAAAAAAAAAAAAAAAGATGTGTTCTGCAGATGAAATTTACATAGTCATTAGTCAACAATCATCAAGAATTAATATATACTATGGCCAACTCTTTCACATCTTGTTCCACGGATTCTTAGCTACAGATTCAGCAGTAAAATGACAGCCAACACTAGTCAAACAATCTTGCAAAACTAGACAACTACAAAAAATCATGTGAGATAAAATAGTATCTATAATACTTTACTCAAGCAGGAAATATAATATGCAAGTACAAACTAGCAAGCAATAGTTTAACATTTAGCTGGAAAATGCCATGTAGAATATAGAAAAAGAGATTATCTGGGAGGATCCATTTTTGTGAACCGTAGGTCAAACTAAAGTAAGCTATCAATTCATCTTAAGGAAGAAAAAGGTCAAGAAGGCTACTGGGCTTTGACAGAGAAAAGGCACTTCCTCATTAAAATAAAAAAATGAGCCTTAATAAGTCAGGATATAGAAATATGTTTTACCCACAACCAACAATTGGATATCCAGATAGAAGGTAGACCATTAGGATTGCTGTACTCCAGAGTGACAATTACTTAAACTGGTTAAGGATTTATAATTACTTTAGGGAGAAAGCTAGGTATCTGTTCTATAGAACTTTTTTGGAATGTCTAAATTTAGGGGTTTAAACCTTTGCATCTTGACTTTCTTTAATCTACAAAGTCATTGTTTTTCACTGATTCAGTCCTATTTTCCAGATAATCTGGGTCCATAAAGTCCTAATAAATAACAGGAGTTCCTGCATTGACTACTAGAGGCCTTGTGGTCCCATTATTCAGTTTTACAGGACAAGAAAAAAAAAATCTAGAAGCAGCCATGACAAATAGCATTTATCAAATAATTATGAGTAAATTTCTTTTACTTCATGTGGAATTCCACCATTTTATCTTCCATCTTCAACTTTTATTGTTCATTAAAATCTATAGTGCAATCCCTATGATCAACACAAATAAAAGGTAAATGACACGAAGTCATCAACAGCAACATGATAGATTTAAGCTTCTTTGGTAATAAAATAAACGCAAACCTAATAAAAGCATAGGAAACTTTTTCCTAGGATTTAAGAACAAAGGCGTGCCCTTCTCTGGAAACCTTTTCCTATCGTAGCATGTGGTGTTTGGAGCCACATTTACAACATACAGGTTGTTTAATAGAAAAAAAAAGCATGAAACATACAGGCAATCAATTTGAGTAATTGTCGATCATGATCAAGAATTCCCTCAATTAATACCTGGATTAGTTCCACGGAAACCAGACCAATTGTCCGAATGGCTGGACCTTAGTAATGACCAAGAAGATCATCACTCAAGAGAGCGTAACCCTATCAAGATTCAAGAAACCAACAACACAATACCAAAAGATACATTCATCCGTCGCGGATCCCACTATAACCAGGAGGCCGCTCAACGAAGACGATGATTAAACAAAGAACCTAAGAAAACTCGACAAAAAATGAAAGAAGAATGACATGATTAACCTATCCCCGAATTCGCGACGTATGATTCTCGAAAGAGAAAATCAATGAGGTTTAGTTCCGAGCTTGAGATTACTCAGAAGAAGAGAAGAGAGGCGTGAGCTCCGCTCGCGGAGAGGAGGGGCGATCGGGGAGCCAACGGCGATGACATGACCAAACTGAAGTGGAATTCAAGATATAAGGAGCGGAGAGAGGAGCGGAGGAAAGATCGGCGCACGTAAGAAGATCCGCGAGAGGTGGGGAATGAAACGGGCGAGGAAGGACGAGGAAAGGAGGTTGCAGAGGTGGGATAGGTTAAAAAACGCGAATCACGACCGTCGCTGGTCGCTCTTTCGCCCCCACCACATCATCAGCCACGCGTTTCGGATTTTTCTGTTTGTTTTTTTGTATTGTTTTCTGTTTGGGCAAATTCTTTTTTTTTTTTCACAATACCAACCTGGTTATCAAGACTTTGTATGAGTGTTTGCTAAGCTTTTCTCGTTGAGTTACCGTATTTTATTAATAAAAATATTATAATTTAAGAAAAAACATAGATATTATTTTAGTTGATTTATTCTCATGTCAGAAGATTGGACGTCGAGCTGAAGGATCGATCGACATATCAACAGAAGGCTTCGGGACATGGGTTCGGGTTACGGGTCAAGAAGAGCGAAAATTATGCCAAGAAAATCGGAGTTGCGGAGGTCAACTGACTGATTAGGCAATAGGCCGTAAGAGAGGACGATGTGTTGAAGAATCGGATGAAGCATCGATGAACCAATGACATGCCGGACAATAATTGATTAGCTTAGTAATAATTGTCTAGATTGAAGTGGATTTTAAGTGTGCAGGATTAACTATGATAGCGATCAAGGCATAAAGCAAAATGAAGTTCCGGAGTCAAGAATGAGATTTCGTTGGGAGTTCAAAAATTCATCGGAAGTCCGGACGTTCATCGGAAGGTCTACCGAAATTGACTGAGAAGTCCAAGAGCTTGCCAAAGAAGCTTATCGAAAGTCGCCAAGAAAATCGTCGTGAAGTCCAGGAGCTTGTTGGGAGTCCGTTGGAACATTGCCGAGAGATCATCGGAAGTTCGCTAGAAGATCGTCGGAAGCTCGTCGGAAGAAACCTAGACTTACAGACTTGTTTAGCTTAGTAAATGTCTTAAAATTCATAGTTAGCACATAATTGGGTTGGAATTGGGCCAACTCAATTAGGGGCTAATTGGGCCCAAGTTTGGGCTGTGTTAGGCCAAGTGAAAGGCCCAAACAATGACCCAACAAGTGACATCGTTATGGCATAGTCTCCAAAATTGTGTCAAGCGGTGGTACCGCTAGTCTAGGTAAAGATACCGCCTAGACATAGTCTCCGAGAGGCTATCAGATAGTGGCACTGCTAGCTTGGGTGGTGGTACAGCCCAATGGCATGGTGTCAGGCGGTGGTACCACCCAGTGTCAATGCTGCAAGCGGTGGTACCACCCATCACAGGTGGTGGTACCGTTAGGACCTAGGAAACCCGGGATGAGACTTTTTTAGGCTCTAAGTTTGAATCCACTTGAGGCCTATAAATACCCCTCTCATCCCTGGTTAAAATACACATAACTAAGAGCAAACGAAAAAAAAAAATGCTGTTGTAATTTTATATGAACTCCTCTAAAAACTTAAGTGTTAGTCTTGTTTGAGAGAGGAGTAAGGGGAGTTGTAAAGGTTCTCTCCTAAACCTGTCAAAAGGAGAATCGAGTTATAAGGGTGGTTGATCTTCGCCCATTAAAAGAAGATCGTTAGTGGATGCCGATGGCCTCGACGGAAGAGGAATCAATAGAGTGGATGTAGGTCACGATGACCGAACCACTATAAAATGACTCGCATTTCTATTTGAGCAATTTACCTTTACTACAATTTGATTCTTTACTTGCCTACTGCTTTCACAACATATACGATTTCAAGTTATCTTTCGAGTTTGATTTTTATCGTATGAAAGATTTTCAAACCGACGTGATTTTATCCGCTGTACTAACTCATAACCCCCCCCCCCCCTCTTCCTCCTCTTTTAGTACTTTTGATCCTAATAAATGGTATTAGAGCTACGTTATTTCTTATTTGGTTTAACACCCAAGAGAAATGGCTCTTTTCGGCTTTTAAGTGGGCTTTTTTATCATTCGTCCTCCCATGTTCAATGGGACAAACTTCACATATTGAAAAACTAGAATAAGAGTTTTTTTGCTTTCTTTAGATTTGAATTTATGGAATATTATCGAAAGTGATTTTCAAAAGTCTTCTTCTACTCTAATGAACGAATGGAATGATTCAAAGAAGAAAACTTTTTCTTTGAATGCTAGAGCTATGAATGCTCTATTTTGTGCCTTGAGCAAAAATGAATTTAATTGAGTTTCTATTTATAAAATGACTTTCGATATTTGGCACACTCTTGAAATCACACATGAAGGCACTAGTAAAGTTAAAGATTCAAAAATCAATTTTTTGATACATGATTTTGAATTATTTCATATGAAACCAAGCGAAACCATTGGAGACATGTACATCTGTTTTATGGATGTCATCAATGGTCTAAAAGCACTTAGTAAAAGCTTTTCTGATTTTAAACTTATAAATAAAATTTTACGTTCTTTTCATCAAAATTGGGATTCAAAAGTAACTGTCATACAAGAGGTAAAAGACTTAAACAAGTTTTCACTTGAAGAACTTATTGCTAGTCATAGGTGCCAGACAAGCCAATCACGTAAGTGATGACACGTGTGACTTGATACAGAATCTTTTTGCTTATTATATTTTGGCATATATCACTTTATAACTATTGTATATATGCACATATATATTGTGATGTCCTTGGATTTGTGCAATGGGAATCGGATCGTGATGAGATCACGAAAATAAGATCGATTCACCTTTAAACACATATCCTAAATAATCCCGGTCATAGGTTACTCGAGAGGGACATCGTGATAACCAAACAGACTGGTGTGCTATATACCCGTCCAAATGATGGATGCAGCTGGTCTTATAGCTGCTCGTGTAGGGACACTAGGGATATAGTACAGGTGCTCATTAGAGAATGAGTTTACTGATTGATCCGCTTACAGAATGCTGGATGGTTGATTATGCCTTACTGTCAAACAACGATTCCGTAGTCCTAGTGGTATATATGGTCCTTAGACTTGAGACACCAAGGATGTTCTATATGAGTGCTATACTCTTTGATACCAGACTTATAGAACGGTTGTCCCAGATCTAGTACAATTGGTCATTGGGAGTGGTAGTCGACCTTACAAGGGTTATTGAGTGTCGATAGAGGATCATCCACTCTCGGCGTCATGAGAGGAATATCTCATATGTTCTTGCTTAGACAAATTCATGGACAGGGTCATTCGGGTTGAGAGAAAAGAGTTCTCTGGGAGAATTTGATTAGAGCGAGACTCGAGTAGAAACCGTATGTGTCTGACAGCACCATGCTCGATATATGGTCTTTGGGATATTAGATGGATGAGGTGTTAGGAAATCTTAGGGGTGACATCACATGCGTAGCGGAAGAACAAGAAAACAAAATCTTTGATTCCCAAAGAGATGTTTGTCGTCGTGCGAAGATTGGTGCGCAAAATCTGCGAAACTTAAAAACTACATATAGAGTAGATTGTGTTACCTAGGAAGATCGTATATCCCTATTTCCTTGTAGATCCTTAGGAGAGGGTGAAGAAGGTCAAGCGCCCTCCTCTCTAGCGGTGATCCACACAGTAGGGCTGCGATGACGCTTCTCAAAACTCCAAGCCTGCTCTGAGGTAGAGGGAGAGGAGAATATGAGAGGTAAGCAAAGGCTCTAGCCTATGAGGCTCTGAATCCGTCCTATTTATAGAGACCCCTTGTCAAACCCTAATGGGTCCTCCCCTAGTGGGTATTGGATCTGCATCCAATAAGACAAGGGCTCAATCGGATATCTCATATCAGAACCTCTACTCATTGCAATACCTACCATATGTGTGTGACCCTCTAGGCCCAATATCAAGCTGGCCGTGAGTCATACCTGTCAGAACTTCTTCTAACTCAGTGAATTATTATCTCTATAATAATTCACTTAACTCATCGACTACGGACGTACTAGGCCACTACGCCGTAGTCCCCAAACGATATATGGGAATCCAATCCATTGGACATGTCTATCTTCAGTTACCGTGTACCTATAGTCCCTTATCCATCTAATATCCCAGAGACCGTATATCGAGCATGGTGCTATCAGACTCATACGGTTTCTACTCGAGTCTCGCTCTAATCGGATTCTCCCGAAGAACTCTTTCACTCTCAACCCGAATGACCTTGACCAGGGATTTTTCTGAGCAAGAACACATGGGATATTCCTCTCATGACGTCGAGAGTGGATGATTCTCTATCGACACTCAATAGCCCTCGTAAGGTCGACTACCACTCCCAATGTCCAACTGTACTAGATCTGGGACAGCCAAACCTATAAGTCTGGTATCAAAGAGTGGAGCACTCATACAGGACATTCTTGGTGTCTCAAGTCTAAGGACCAGATATACCACTAGTACTACGGAATCGCTGTCTGACAATAAGGCATCATCAACCATCCAGCAAGTTTCCTTGGGGTATCCCACAAATTTGCATCGCTTTGTCCTTGATTCTAATTTATCGTAGTTGTGTCTTTTAACGTGGGTAGGGCAGCCCCAAATCTTAATAACCTTAGGATCAGGCTTCTTCCCTTTTCATATCTCATATGGTGTAGACACTACCAACTTAGTTGGAACTCTATTCAGAAGGTAAGCTGCGGTCTCTAGGGCATATCTCTAGAATAAGATGGGTAGGTCAGCGAAACTCATCATGGACCGTACCATATCTAATAGCGTACGATTTCTCCTTTCAGAGACACCATTGAGCTGAAGTGTATAAGGAGGTGTCCATTGGGATAATATCCCATGGTCCTTGAGGAACTGAGTAAACTATGTACTTAAGTACTCACCTCCTCGATCTGATCGAAGAGTTTTGATACTCTTTCCAGTCTGGTTCTCTACCTCATTCTTATACTCTTCGAATTTCTCAAAAGCCTCGGACTTGTACTTTATTAAGTACACATATCCATACCTTGAGAAATCATCAGTAAAGGTAATGAAGTATGAGTAACCACCAATGGCATGAGTTGACATGGGTCCATATACATCACTATGTATGAGTTCCAACAGCTCAATGGCTCTCTCTCTAGTTCCACTAAATGGAGAGTTGGTCAGTTTTCCACGAAGGCAAGGCTCGCAAGTTGCAGAATTGGAGTTTTGAGGAGTGT